GGGGATGTCAAAGGCATTGAAAAGCTGCTTGCCAAAGGGTTTGATCCCAACTTTTGGTCACGAAAAGACGGAGGTAAACTCGGATCCTTTTTGGAAATAATGTGAAATATAATAAAAGGCGAAACTTGTGTGTAAACAAAAGCATAGCACTAAGTTAATGGCACCAAATCATCCTGTTTGCAGATTTTCTCGTTGGTTTCTGTTCAGTCAAGCCCAACTTCGATAAGCTACAAAGAATGGTTAACGCAAAACGTTTGAATTTGGATCCAGTAGTTAGCAGCATAGATTTCGACCAATGTTCCTTGAAACGCCTACAGTTGTGTGCTCGATCCTTCACATTCCTAAGCAGTGCCATCATACTCGCCCCCTAACAGCAAATAGTACTAGTGCCATAGTAGTTAGCTAACCCAGTAAACAAAGTGCAGAGTTTCTTGTGAGCATCAAGTGCAAGTTTTGATTTGATGGTTATCAAAGAATTGTTTGAGGTGGTCGCGTAACCTAAATGGGAAGCCTTAAAGTCGTTTATCCTAAACTAGACTAATCTCTCAAAGGTATTGTTGCCATGATGTTCTGTAGAAAGAATAGGTAGCCGTTTAAACATTCACTTATTTGCACTTGATAGCCAATGCTGCAGTTTGCTTGATATACATCGAGTACCACTTATCGATTTTTGCGCCCACCGACAGAAGCACCAATCACAGCTGCAGCAACGACCTTTCACCCTCGTGATATGATCATTGCTCTGGTCAACGGAGGTGCTCACATTGATTTTCGAGCTCGTGATTCGCACACTGCGCTGCATCGAGCTGCCATCTGCGGCAACTACGAGGCCATTCAGGTGAGTCGTCCCCTCCTCATCAGTTTTAGCCGTTTACCCTAGTGAGGTGACCTGCCTGCATCATTTGCGAGGCGGAATATCACCAGAGGGATTATTTTGCAGCCTTCAGGATAAAAATTAATAGCAACTTGGAGAAATTAACAGGCAATCGGTAACAGTGCTGAGTCAACCTAATAAGTTATTTTTAATTCTTCTTCTACTTCAATCGGTTGACGTCAATTAACACTTCGCTAAAGTGGAGCGACGCTTGAAATAGCTCATGCACTTTACCACACAAAAAGGCAAGACGTATTACTCGAAGACTTTTCAATCTGCTCTGTCTGCCTCTGCCTCATTTAAAAGCCTACCACTTTGAGTCCACCTCTGCCGCAAGTCCCGCTATGAGTTCTTCCACTCTCGTAGATTTGTGCCAACGGTGAATCAACGGACTCTGACTTACAAACTGTTTGCATGCATCCAACCTCTGCTCACACCAACAGCCGACTTTTGAGGGTCGGTGCCATCGGCATTGCTACCCACTCCTTACCGCCTGGGTAGTCCATCATCTTCAAAGCCATCATCGTCCATCACAGGCTCTTTTTTTTGGGGGGATTTCAATCCCATAATACGACAGGCTTGAGGGAATACAATCAGAGCTTTTTTCACTGAACGACTCATTTTTTCCATTGCATTGAACATGGTAGTGCCAAAAGGATAGCAATCGTTTTCTCGAACTCGTCCGCATTGGTGCTCATTCTTCCACTCGTAGTGAATTTTTATCCAGTCACCTCCTCCTTTGGTGTCTCTCAACAAGTCAAGTCAAACCGCAAGGATGCCAAACGTCGCACTCTTGGAGCCAAGTGAAGTCCTCTTTCCCAATCACTACTACGGAATGTGAGGCAACGCAGTGGCCTAGAAGC